TGCAGGATGATGGTGTTTTATAGAAGATTCTTTAAGACAAGAAGTAGCCTGGCAGCAACAGCATTTGGCAGCTTTAGAGTTAAGCTTATGAAACTCTTGCACAAGTACACTCATGCACTTTATGTTGTATGGGTGATGTGAATTAGCTATGTTGAAACTATAGTATTCTTCTTAAAGTTGCAAGAGCTGACAAACTAGTTTGATAGTGGATTCTAGAATCTACTGTCATATCAGAATAACAAGAAGAACAGATGAAGATGCACTTACATCACAACAGGTACAGGTTTAATATTCTAAATAATAAGAACAAGATTTCTTCTTGACATTCTATAGACAAGGCTTGCTTTCATCCAGGTGGTCTGTGAACATTGAGTAAACACAGACAGAGCATGAAAGAGTGTCTTCTTTATTATGTGCAACAGAGTCTTTCAATAATAACATTGTAATAAGTTATAAGATGAATGAGGAACAACACCTGAGCCCAAACAAAGTAGAAGAAAAAGAAGAAAGAAAAGAGCCAGAAACTCTTTATTTATACTCACACCACAATGCACTAAAGTTGCTAGTCTTATGACTTGTTGATAGACAACCAGACAAGCAAACAAACAAAGAAACAAGTACATGATGAAATGCTGGATGTTTGTAATAAAATGATTACCATCCTACAATAAAGAATGTCTACTACAACTGGCAGTGATATGCATGCAGGATGTCTATATAGACAAGCAGTAGTAATGCAGAAGCTTGCATATTCAAGAATCTACAATGCTTCACCAATGATAGAGGAGCTACAATGATGTACAAAAAACTACTTTAGTGGCTTTATGCCTTGGAGTTCAAGGCTTCTAGAGGGGGGATAGTGTTACAAATGTAGATCTAGACCAACCAAGCATTGGATGATGTCAGATGTTCAGGGGTATTCACATAATCCCAATTCTGAATGTATAAGAATCACACAATTCACATGAATTATAAGAACCCCAGTGTTCAGTCTTCTAGTTAAAGAATCTCTATGTTCTATGCATGACTTTCTTCCATCAGTTATGGGTATTGTACATACTTAGCTCTTTCATACCCCTAATTCTGGGAAAACCTACATGACCTACAACCAGTTCTCCTAACATATGCACTTGATATTGTACAGACAATACAGATCAGCTGCATCAAAATTATAGTATTCTTCTCAAAGTTACAAGAGTCAACAAACTAGTTCAACAGCAGATTCTGAAATCTACAGCCAGGTTAGAACAACAAGAAGAACAGATGAAGACATACTTATATTATAATAGATACAGATTTGATATTCTAAATAATAAGAATAAGATTTCTTCTTAACATTCTATAGACAAGGCTTGTCTTCATTCAGGCAGTCCATGAACATCAAGTAAATACAGATGAAGTACAGAAGAGTGTCTTCTTTATTGTGTGCAACAGAGTCTTTTAATGACAATATTGTAACAAGTTATAAAATGAATGAGAAATGACACCTGAGCCCAAACAAAGCAGAAGAAAAAGAAGAAAGAAGAGAGCCAGTATGAGGATTATATGTGTGAATCAGTGTGACAATGAATCTCTAGAAGAAATATACATGGAAAAGAGTACATGAGGTGAAAGGTCTGTATTCTGGCAACTATATACAACTTGTAAACAAGATTGCCACTGGCTCCCAGCAAGGGGTTTGTGCAGTGACAGTCTTTTATATGTGCTTATGAGCATGTGACTTAGTGCCTTGTGAGAACACATGCAACTCCCAGCAGCTTGTGAGCTGAGGCCTCTGGCCTTTATGGGTGCTGTTTGTCCATGTAAGGGGTTCGCGGCAAATTCTTACAGCCAGAAACTCTTTATTTATACCTACACTGCAATATACTAAAGTTGCTAGTTTCATGACTTGTTGATAGACAACATGACAACAGATAACAGATGATGTAGCAACCAGACAAGCAAATAAACAAAGAAACAAGTATGTGATGAAATGCTGGATGTTTGTAATAAAATAATTACCATTCTACAACAAAGAAAGTCTACTGCAACCAGCAGTGATATGCATGCGGGATGTCTATATAGACAAGCAGTAGTAATGCAGAAGCTTGCACATTCAAGAATCTATAAGGTAGTTTACCACTAAACAAGCCACACCACTAAATGAGCCAAATTTCACCAAATGCTCCACGCAATGAATTTATTAAATATCTCAACAACCAGATTTTTATTATTAAATAGCTATTAAATATTAAATGAATGTATTCTTTAAAGCATAGAAATTAGTATAGTTAAGAAAATAAACAGGTGGATGGCCTAATATTACAGCCAGAGCAAGAGATTTAGGGGGTAGATAGGAAAGAATTCAAAGAAATATCAACAGTAGATTTCTTGGCTAGATAGTCTAATATCTTGCTAGAGATGCTTGTAGAGCTCTTACTTTCTCTTTTGGAAGATTGTATAGGCTCTTTGTAATAAGGCTCTTTAGTAGGGGAGTTCTTCTAATGGTGCTTTGAAGCTGGTGCTTGAAGCTCTGACTGCTGGTGTTTATTAGTCTGTTTAACTGTCTGTTTTTCCTTCTCTGCTAGTTGTAAAGCCTTCTTCTTCTCATAAGCAACATGTTGTGCCTCTCTTTGTCTAGCATATTTGTTTTTTTTGATCTCTTGTTACTCCCAGATTTTTTTATAAGCATTCTTCTGTTCAATCTGTCTTTTTTTAATATCTCTAGCAGCCTGCTTCTTTTGAAGCTTCTGTTGAAGTTTTGTCTCTTGTATTTAAGCAATTTTACCAGCTTTTTCAGTTTTTATTTCATCCAGGTGCTTGTGTGCCTTAAGAACTTTTGTTAAAGACCAGAACTGTGCTTGACTAGGATTATCTCTATTGAGTAGGCCTAGGGGCTTGTCTTGCTTGTGGCATTGCTTCTCCATTACTAGAGTTGATCTTAGCTGCTGATTCTTATGTTCCAGCAGTTTATTATGAAAAGCAAACTGCTTACTGGCTTGGATAATCTATCTAATACTTTGTGAATTTAGGCTGTGCTGGAGATATATACTTTTGATCTCTTATTAGAGCTGGTGCATATTGCTAGAAATAGAAGGTTTAACTGGTAGTGTAGAGACTTGAGCAGTTTCAAATTGATATAGTTAATGTTGAAGATCTAGAGAATTAATTCCAGTTTTTGCAAAGCTAGCAAGTATATTTTCAACTGTCAAAGTCTTCTTCCAAGCCACATTAAATAATCTTCAAAAATCCCTTTTTGTCATTTGAATATAGCTTATTTCTTGATGTAGTAGGGCTTCTAGCTTATTAAAATATGCCTTGCTTAGTGGCCCAAATATTCCAATATCAAGAGATTGCAAATGGTAGGTTGAATGTGGTGGGAGGATCATAAGAAGAATCTTTTTATAGTCAGTGTATTTGATAAATTTCATATTTATATAGGAGGAATGCTCATCTAGTAGAAGCAGATGTCTTTCTTAATCAGCTTGTTTCTTAGTATGCTGATTGAAAATCTGTTTCAACTACTTCAGTTTATATTCATCATTGCTTCAACTATTTGTTGAAGCTGTAAAGTAGACTCATTTGCTTCCATCATAATTATCTAGCTATATATTCTAGAGATCTTGTGATTTGCTCTGGTAAATAAGAGCTAAAGATAGTGTAATTTCTTCAGCAAAGACTAAGGAGAGCAATAAGAGAAATTCCTGACTATTATTCTGAGTGATGGCATTCTTTCCAGCTTGTAGAGCTTCAATAGAGACTAATTGCTTTGAGATATGGCAGAAGTCTAGAAGAAATTCTTTTTTGTTAAAGTTATAGATGTTTGAGGGCTTAAGATTATATTAATTAATTTTCTGCTCCAACTACTTCATAAGTAGTAGTCAAATAGTTAGTCAGCATTAACAACTGCAATTGCAAGTAATTAAATAAATCATCAAATTACAAGCATATAGAAGTACTTAAAGCACTGATAGTTATCTGCTATCTGTCTATTTTAATTAATTACTTTGAGATAAATGCATTTGATCTTGTTATTATATCACTCACAAAATTAATTAATCCAGTTGATTCTAATATTCTCTTCTGTCATCTCTTGTATGATATTTTGTAGAATCTGAGATGTAATGGCAAGGCCACAGCTAAAGAGCTTGTTTATATAATTCAGAAGCTCTGCCTCCTGTATATTAGAGAGCTTTTTCTTATATCAGGAGGCCACTTCATTCTGAGCAAGTTGCAAGTTTTTATGCTGTCAGCACAGGGTCTCTTGATTAATGTTATGAAACTTGTGGCACAGCAGCCAAAGACACAGGATGATTGGATGAAACCTGACAAGACAGAGTCACAGACTGTTGTGGAGAAATCTTAGAACAGAAAGTCACATGATTAGTGATAGAACTGATAAGCTGACTAATCACACCAAGTATGATAGGACTAATCAGAGAACATAGCAAGCATACTGCAATAGAACAGATAAAACAGCTTAGCAGAACTATCATCAGAAGAGCATCATGTATATAAGAACACTCATTATCAGAGATTTAATGAACTTATTTATTATAATTAATCTTCTTATTTATCTTACAGATATCTTTGAATCAGATACTTTCATATCTTGATTACTTTTTATACCATTGAAGTCTTGTAATACTGTACAATTATACCTGATTCTGCTACTCTTGAGAAGATATGATAGTCTTGCCCTGACTCTGATATATCTGTATAGAAATTCTTTGTCATCAGAGCAAGACTGCCTACTTAACCAGAGCATTATTAGATTATTGATTACTATCTTCAATCTGTTGTTGCTCTCTTTAAGCTCTTTGATATTCTCAAGATCTCAAAGAACTCAGAGAGGTTTTTCATCAGAAATTATCATACACAACACATTGATCACCCCTGACTCAGAAGAGAATACATCTGAGACCCCAGAGATTACATATAAAGAAAGAACTTTCTGCATTACATCAAGCATAAAGATATAACCCCCACCCCATGTCAAGACCTAATAAAGTATAGAAATCATGTCTGCATCCAAAGCACCAGCCATCAATACTCAAGATCTTATGAATAGAATCTTGCAGCTCAAACAGATTACTGAAAGACTTGAAGAGCAGAACCATGAATTGAAAAACTATAACAAGCAGCTTGAGATTCAGATCATGGCCATTCCATTCACTGAACAGCAGGAAAAGAAAGATAAAGCTAAAGTCAACTTACCAGAACTCTTCAAGAGTGAACAAGAAAAATTACAAGCTTTCTTGAGATAACTGCACATTTACATGGATATGAAAGGCAAAGAACTTAGCAGTAATAAAGACAAGATGATAATGACAGCATTATATCTTTACAGAGCAGTATTTGATTAGTTCAACACCTATCTGCAGAATTATTACAAAAGAGACAAAGTTAATCAGAACAACAACATGCTTAAGATTATTAACAGTTACAACATCTTTATTTAGATATTGAAAATCACTTTCAGAAAAGTTAAGAAACAAAATATGGCAGCCCAGCAGTTACATCATATATAATAAAAGATATCACCACAAGAATATGCTATGAGATTCCAGCAAGTCAGTGTCAACACTGATTGAAACAATGAAGTCTTAGCTGACACTTTCTATCAAGAACTATTCAATAAGATCAAAAATGAAATAGTATGATTAGAAAAACAATCACATACCCTGACCAAGATAATCAAAGTAGCAGTCAGAATTGGAAACTGACTTTACAAACAAAAGATAGAAAAGCAAGAAAAAGTACCATGAAAGTAACCCAGTTTATTGAGCCATACTGAAAGTTAAGACCAGAGCAAACATACATAATCAGACCTTTACAGACACACACCCATGAAGCTGGATGTAACAAAAGTTGACATGCTCAATAAGAAAGAGAAAGAGCAGAGAAAGAAAGAGAAATTATGCTTCTATTGTGCTAAGTCTGGACACTAAGCAAGGTAATATAGAGCAAAGAAAATAGATTAAAGAAACAAGAAACTCAGAGCAATCTCAAAAGAAAATGAAAAAGACTCTGAAGTTAAACAACATCTCTAAGTAACAACTCAGAAAGAGCAAATCAAAAAAGAACTCCAATAACAGTTCAGGAAGATATTTAAAGAACAAGTCATGAAAGTCTATCTGAAGCTACTCCAGCAGCCAGAAGATAAATCAAAATGCTGAAATCAGCTGGATGACAAGAAATGAGAGTTATGTGAAGAATTATGTGTGAAAATGAGGAGCAAATCAAGTGATAATTAGAGAATTCAACCACTTGACTGTGAATATCACTACAGAAAGAAAATGGACAAAATTCAGAATCTAAAGTACAAGAAATATATTTAGTACCCAATCTATAAATATTCATGCAAGCTTCACCAGAAACAACAAAAAGAGTTCAAATAATGAACACAGATTATGGAAGACTTCATGTATTATGAAGACTACAGTTACAACATCAAGAATTGCCAGCATTGCAAATGCAACACTGAGAAAGAAGAATGGGAAATACCAGACCTACAGAATATCTTATCTACAGAACATCCAGATCACACCAGAATTTATTAAAGCTTTTGCTATAATGACAATTGCTCTATCTACAGAGATAGAAAGAATGATGGATATTACTTATAATTACTGAAGAAGTTGCAAGCAACTCAGAAACAAGATTATAATAATAATGAAGAATATTGATCAAGTGAAGAACAGACAACCACACCAGAGTTGAAGAAAGAACCAAGTTGAGAAATACTAGAATTTGAGAAACATGAAGAAGATGTCTTGAAGAAACTCAGTCTTATAAAAAGCATAATATCTGAAGAGACAAGATGTCCAACAGCAAGGAAATTACAGATCTAAGATAACTAATTACACTGGATTATATGTAAAGAAGAAAACAGATTACTAGCAATAATAATATACAGACAGCACTGGAATAAAAAACAGAAAGAAGTGGAAAAACTGAACCACTCATACTATAATAAATTTAAGTACAAATGTCAATGCAAATTTCACAAAGATAAAAAATTTTGAAAAATGATGAGATTCCTGCATGGTTTGAAAGAATGTGAAAACTGTGCAGGATGCAAAAACAACAAGTATATACAGAAAATACACAAAAAATAATGTACTGATGAAAATAATTGCAAAATACATGAACAGACATCTAAGATGACTCTTGTTAATTTGAGAAATAAAATGGCTGCCATAAACAAGAGTCTGTAAGCAGCATGAATAGACAAGTAAAACTATTAGCCACTAATAAACAAATCTGTCATCTCAGAGTTACAGCAACCTTACTTAAATCAAAGCACACAACAGTTCTAGTGAACTCAGAAGTGACTGAACTATTTATCAACAAAAGATTCATCAAACAAGCTGACATTGTAAAGTGAATGAAGAAATATCCCTACCAGTTACCAGAACTGGGAGAAGGAACTCTTGATAGAGTTGAAGAAGAGACATATCTCATCAGAATAAAAATAGAACAACATCACAAGAAAGTGCATTTCAAAGTGACAAATCTAGAAGACTATAATATAGTCTTGGGATACTCTTGATTAAAGCAACACAATTCAGAAATTAACTGGTAAGAAGAAAAGATTAGACTGACAAACTATAAATGCTCTCTCAAACCAGTACACCATAATCAGAGACTCATACTCAGAAACAACTTAGACAAGACACTAGCTATAATAAGTCAGGTCAACAGAAAGATACCATATAGAGAATAATTAATCAACACTGAAGAAATTCATGGAAATCTAATTCATGATAATAAAGTAGATCAAGCTATAAAGAATCCTAATGACTTGAAGCAGCTACAAGTACAAAAGAATGACCAGAATAAAAAGATCAAGAAAACTCTATCAGAAGAATTCTAGGAATATATTAATGTATTCAGAGAAAGAAATCAGAGCAACAGCTTACTAAAGCACAAACTCTGAAATCATGAGATAAAGCTACAAGACAGAAAACAACCAGCAAAACTGCTAATATACAGATTGAACAAGAAAGAATCAGCTGAAGTAAAGAAATACATTAAGAATAATCTCAAGAAAGATTACATCAGAGAGTCAACATCACTGGCAGAATATTCAATACTGTTTGCATCAAAGAAGGACAGAACTTTACAACTATGTGTGAATTACAGACAGTTGAACAGCATCACAGTCAAGAACTATTACCCAATACCACTGATTAAAGAAGTGCAAGACAGATTGAGAGGAGTAATATAGTTTACTCTAATCAACATCAAAGACACCTATCACCAGATACAAATCAAAGAAGGCAACAAATGGAAAACAGACTCCAGAACAAAATACCTTGATAATATGGTTATATTCACCAAAGAAGATCAAAAAAATCATACTGGAAAAGTCAAGAAAGTACTGGAAAAACTGCAAAAATACAATCTACCAGCAAAGCTAAAGAAGTGTAACTTCTTCAAGAAGAAGATCAGATATCTTGGATACATCATGTCAACAGAAGAAATACAAATGGAGCCAGGAAAAATCAATAAAATACTACAATGACTGACATCAAAGAAAGTCAAAGAAGTTCAGATATTTCACAGACTAGCAAATTACTACCAACAGTTTATATACAGATTTTCAAAGAAAGCAAGACCACTCACACAGCTATTCAAGAAAGACAAAGTATTCAAATAAACAACAGAGTGTCAACAAGCATTTGAAGCAATAAAAGACAAATTCAGAAAAGAAGAAATAACACTACAATCTAACAAAGAAATATGTAATTAATACAGATGCATCAGACTGTGCAATAGTGGGAAGACTATAACAACCAGACAAACAAGAAAGACTATAACTAGTTACATGCTATGCAAGAATAATGACACCAGCTGAATAAAACTACAATATCCACAACAAGAAACTACTTGCAATAGTGGCATTACTGAAAAAATAAAAGATTGAACTACAAGAAAATCAACATCAGACAGAGATTATCTCAGATCATAACAATCTGCAATACTTTATGACAACCAAAGAACTTACAAGACAACAAGCCAGATGGTATACAGATGTACTGATGCACTATAACTTTAGAATATAATACTGCAAAGACACAGAAAATGCCTGGGTGAACACATTAAGCTGAAGATCAGATCTTACAAGAAAAGAACAAGATTTAAGAACACTTTTCAAAAAGTTGGAAGAAATAAAGAATATGATTCTGAACTGACAAGCATTGAGAGCAACAAGAATCACTACAGAAGAATTAGATATTGAAGAAAAGATCAAAGAAGTAATAAAAAAAAACAAATATGCAAAAAAAATCAACAAGAAAAATGAGAACTTTAAAAAAGAAGAAGAAATGATACTATATCATGGACTAATATATGTATTCAGAGAAGTCAGAAAGCAAGTAATGATATAAGAATATAATACAATCACTGCAGAACATTTTGGAATCAACAAGACAATAGAGAAAATCACAAGAATCTACTATTGACCAGAAATGAGAACAGATATTCAACAACATGTCAAAGAATGTGAGACATGTGTACAAAGCAAAGTCAACAAACACTAACCATACAGAAAGCTACAGCCAATACCACAACTGTAAGAATCATGGAGATTTATAGTGATGGATTTCATCACAAAACTCCTGAATTTAAAGAATATGGAAGGGAAGAAGTACAACTCAATACTAGTGGTCACTAACAGATTGACAAAGTACAGATACTTTATACCATTCAGAGAAGCAATAACAGCACCAGATACAGCACTGATAGTACTGCAAAATGTGCTTGCCAACTACAGAATGTCAGAAGAGATAATTACAGACTAAGACACCAGATTTATAAGCAAATTCTGAACAACATTGATGGCACAATTGGGAATTAAACAGAAAATATCAATAGTCTATCATCTACAGACAGATGGACAGACAGAGTAACTGAACCAAATCTTGAAGTAATATCTGCAAGAATATATCAACTATCAACAGAATAATTAAGTTACATTACTATTTATGACACAATTAGTATACAACAGAGCAAAGAACACCACTACAGAAATGACACTATTCTACATGAACTATAACAGAGAACCAGAAATACAGAAATAATCAAGAATTGCATAACAAAAAGCTCAAGAAGCAGAACTTACAGCAATACAACTATAAGAACTGCAGAACCAGATGAAACTGGATATCAAATTTCTGAATGAAAGAATAAAGCATTACTATAACAGAAGATGCCAGAAGACACTAATTCTGAAAGAGAGAGAAAAAGTATTTCTAATTCAACAGAATATCAAAACCAAACAACCAAGCAAAAAACTTAATTTCAAAAAATTAGGATTATACAAAATCATGAAGCAGATCAGAAAAGTTAACTACAAACTCCAGCTACCCAAGAAGATGAGAATACACCCAGTATTTCATGTCTCATTACTGGAGGAAGCACCACTACACACCAAAGAAATGCCCACAGAGATCAACAAGAAACAAGAATACAAAGTTAAACAGATACTAGATCATCAGAAGATCAGCAGAAAACTTTACTACTTAGTGAAATAAAAAGAATATAATATCTCAGAAAACATCTGAAAATCAACAGAAAATCTCAAGAACACCCAGATAATTATTGAGATATATCATTAATAACATTCTCACTCAGCAAGACATTAACAAACAAATCAGAAACAACTGGAAGAGAACTTGAGAAAGAAAAATCATTTAATAAAGCAAGCAGATTTTGAATTTCTGTCTGCTCAGCTACTCTTTTCTGCTTCTTCTTCTCAAGATATTCTAGATCTTCCACAGACTTCAATTCAGACTCAAGAAATTTACCAGCTCAATCACAGAGTAACTTTTTCTGCTTTTGAAAACAGAGAAGACAAGAGAGAGTTTCTTGCTCAGTACACTCAAGCTTATTCTGAGTCTCAAACAACTTCTGCTAATTAGCAGCAGAAGAACTATTATTATGAATGCAATAATAATCAGCATAAACACACTCACTATACTGAGAGAAATGACTCAACTTTAGACAAGTCTTATTCAGTAAAGAACATCAAGAGCAGAGAGAGAGTATAATAAATCCAGATTGCTTGATAACAAAAAGAAGATTATTCTTGCAAATATTAAAAGCAGACAACATGATAAAAGAGAATTATAAAGATACTTACTGAAAACAAGAAACAAGAGAAAAACCCAGAAATTCAAAAAAGAATAGAAGAACACTCTTTTATATCTCAGAAAAGAAAGCAGAGCAGTTGGGAACAACACTGTGAGAATTGTACGTGTGGATCAGCGTGACAATGAATCTCTAGGAGGAATATACATGGAAAAGAGTATGTGAGGTAAAAGGTCTGTATTCTGGCAACTATGTATAACTTGTAAACAAGATTGCCACTGGCTCCCAGCAAGGAGTTTGCACAGTGACAGTCTTTTATGTGTGCTCACAAGCACATGACTTAGTACCTTGCAAGAACACATGCAACTCCCAGCAGCTTGCAAGCTGAGGCCTCTGGCCTTCACAGGTGCTGTTCATCTGTGTAAGGGGTTCGCGGCAAATCCTTACAAACACACTGTAAAAGAAGAGAATAATATTATAAAACTTGTAGCACAGCAGCCAAAGACACAGAATAATTGGATGAAATCTGACAAGACAGTGTTACAGACCATTATGGAGAAATCTTAGAACAGAAAGTCATGTAATCAGTAATAGAACTGATAAGCTGACTAATTACATCAAGTGTAATAGAACTGATTGAAGGATATAGCAAGTGTACTGTGATAGAACAGATAGAACAGCTTAGCAGAACTATCATCAGAAGAGCATCATATATATAAGAACACTTATTACTAAAGATCTGATGGACTTGTTTATTGTAATCAATCTTCTTATCTATCTTACAGATATCTTTGAATCAGATACTTTCATATCTTAATTACTTTTCATATTATTGAAGTCTTGTGATACTGTACAATTGTACCTGATTCCACTATTCTTGAGAAGCCACAATAGTCTTGCCCTGACTCTGATATATCTGTATGGAAACTCTTTGTCATCAGAGCAAGACTGCCCACTCAACTGGAGCACCATTGAATTATTGATCACTACCTCCAATCTGTTGTTGCTCTCTTTAAGCCCTTTGACACCCTCAAGATTCTAAAGGACCCAGGGAGGTTCCCCATCAGAAATTGTCATACACAACAATTAACTGAGTACTTTCTTGTGGTTTCAGTGTAATTTCGGGTCTCTTGTGATTCAAGATCTTCAATTGCAAGCCTAATTGAGATATTGTTAACCATGTTGTTGCATATTGAATGTTGAATGTTGGAGGAATTTTAGTGGTGGAAGATTTGGCTTGTTTAGTGGTGTGGCTCACTTAGTGGTGAACTACCTTAATGCTCTACCAGTAACAGAGAAGCTGCAACAATATACAAAAAACCACTTTGGTGGCCCTATGCCTCAGAGTCCAAGGCCTCTGGGGAAGGGAGATAGTGTTATGAATGTAAACCTAGATCAACCAAGCATCAGACAACATCAGATGTTCAGAGGTATTCACATGACCTCAACTCTGAATGTATAAGGATCACATGATTCACATAGATCATGAGAACCCTAGTGTTTAGTCTTCTAGTTAGAGGACTCCTACATTCTACACACAACTCCCCCCCATCAGTTGCAGGCATTGTAACTACCTAGCTCTTTCATACCCCTAATTCTGGGAAAACCTACATGACCTATGACCAGTTCTCCTAACACTTAGCCAAAGCTGAAGCTATAATGTGAAGAGCACATCATATTGAGATTTGACACCATATACTAAGAGATTGGGTTCAAAAGGATGAAATCTCAATCAAGCACATTGGAACTGATGTGAATAAAGCTGACAGGCTCATGAAGACTCTTGCAATAGATTCCTACACTTAATTCATGAGTGTGATAGGGGTGATGAGTGGATACAGGAAAATATGGAGGTTTATTAGTGAAGCCAGCAAAAATACAGTATTGTGGTGAACAGAGCTAAGCCTAAAGAAGGAATAAATCTGGATTCTGTAATTAATTTTTTATCACAGATTTGAGAGATTTGGAAGCTTTGGATCTTTGTGGCTCTTGCTTGCTGCTGGAGCTTGTTGCATGGGGGGTGTTAGGTAATCCAACTAGCACCTCACTCACGTGACCCACATAGATTAGCCGAGATTCCCCTTTAGGTAGCTTAGTAAATGACAAGCATACAAGTCCTCCATCAGTATCGCTGGTGGATCAACGGTTTACAAATCCTCCCCATTTCTGCTATGGCGTCTCCTCCGCGAAAGAGAGAACAAAGCCAATGATCTTTCATCGAGAATACCGAGCGCTTATGAAAGGGATCTATGTTGCGGTTAAATTATAAAATTATGTTCCACAGGCTGTATAGGAGCCCGTAGCCAGAATGTACAGAAATTTAGGCTGTAGGGGAGGGAATAGTTATCGGTATACAAAGTTCACAGGATCTAACAAAGACGGCGAGATGTGGCTGCACGAAAATATAATCATTCGAAATTTCTTTTGGTTGGAGGTCATTCATGTCATAATCATTAATCATTTCTCTTTTTTTAGGTCCTAGGGACGTAACCATGAAACGGACATAGCTATCCGGGCTCTTCGCAGAAGAGTTTCAGGACTGAATCAACAACGTCAGTGGCTTTCGCCCTGTCCAAAACTGGAACACTGGGCGTGTTCCCTTCTGGGCCGTTGCGTGATGAAATAGAAGAATGCAGCTTTGCTCCTGAGGCAGGACTCTTAATGTTGAGGAATTTTCGCAGGGCAAATGTCGACGCGCGGTACGTTGCGTGATACATTGTCTTGAATTCGTCCTCCTCTTCGGCGTCCGCGGCGGGCTGTAATAACTCCGTTGTCGAATTATTCAAAGCTGTCGAGTCAGTGGAATCACGATTGAGTTCAAATTTCGCCCGGGACGCGCTTGCGTTTCGATGATAGCCATACATACGCATGCATGTTAGTATGGTTCGGGTGAGAAGGCCTTTGTTTGTGGATAATATATTCTCCATGGAAGAGTCGCCTGCGGATATCTGGGAGCATTCTTTGGTCGTAACAGACGCCGAGGGAGTGGATTTCCGGCTTGCTATGCTCATTGAGCGCGGACGAGATACCCCTGAGAATTGTCTGGGTAGGCTGGAATCTCTGGTTCCTGCACCACATAGAGTTTGTTTCCCTGGGTTCGATTGAGAGCCATAGAGGATACTGGTATCATTTTGAGGCTCCCTTTTCGCTCTCGGGTACGGAAATTGCAACTTCGGCGAGGCTTCTCTGCTCTTCTCTATATACTCAGAAACGGCAATCATGCCTTTCCTTCGTACCTTCTTGTGATATTCATCGGCCGCTTCGAAGAGTGTGTCAACGCGTTTCCGTTTAGGACTGGGAGCAAGAGGGTCTGAAAGGAATTCGGCATACTCGGGGATCTCTGCTCCGTCGGCGTGATTACCCTCGGATGGTGTAAGGGGCGGAGAGGGTAGGGAAAGAGCTTTTACAACAAGGGTAGAACATATTGGTGCTGCATATACACGTAATTCCCGCGTGGGTGAAGAAGAGTCGTATCGTTGTTGTGTGTCGGACTCAGATGATGACAAAATGCCGTATATAAGGAGGTCGCTGATTTTCCGCGCGTGCGCATTACTATCTAGATGCTCCACTGCAAGTAAAATGCCGACCGGGCACTGCTTAGTCGTACAGAATTCTTCGTCCGGGTGATCCTCAGAATCCAAATGCACATTATGCAACAGCCTACTTCTAATCCAGTCTCTAGTAGCAGTGTTCGAAATATGGACCTCTAATGCGGGACCCGTGATAGCAAAAAGCGGGACGAGAGTAGGGTCGACCAGCGAGCGGAGGATCAGCTTTGCCTTCGAGATATCGCATTGGTTACTTGAGAGCGGATTAAGTAAACGCACTCCTAGGTATAAAATCAGTTTGATCCAAGATATTTGAATAACAAGCGTACCATCAAGTGTTAGAGAGTCTGCCGTGATGACCCCGGACCAGACCTCCATAGTGAAGTGGGGTTGTTAACGCATGCCGAAGTAAAGTTGGGATCAAAGCAACAGTTTTAATTAGTGCGCTCCCAGTATATGTCCTCGAATTTTAATTGCTTTCCTTCATCTAGAGTCACATTGATTTTACAGGTTACCGCGTTCTATCCGAATATGGTGATGACTCTGCTTACGCGTAGTCACGTGGAGGAAAGGTAGAGGTCGGCGCCTATCAAACAGAAATCAGGACGAAACCTGCCCTGCAAAAGAGAAAACTGTGAACGCCATAGATACACATGATAGACCATGCTAAACCCGTAGAATACTAATATACATCAATCCAGAACTTTATTAGAATGCAACTCGTCGCTTGAATACCCCGGCGAACCCGCGGTATGAGGAAGTCAAGATTGTGACGACAGATAAGCACGGAGCTCACGGAATCCCTAGATAAAGAAATATCGGCAGGTATGGAATAGAGCCGCTTAATGAAAAGCAAAAAAACGTTACGCCTTTTACACCGAGATACTCAGAACAAGCAACCGAACGTGACATAACAGAACCTTATCATACGGAGGCGAGACACACTCGAACAGCGATATCACTCTAAAACGCTCAAAATTCTTCTTGTTCCTGGAAAAACATAGTGAAGCTGATTATCGTGCCGTATATTAAGAGCCCCCCCAAAACAGACATAATCATAGCCGGAACCTGGATCGCACCCGTATGAGCTAAGATCGCCGGCAGGGCTACATGAAGCAATCGTTAGCATTAGAAACAGCGTAAAATAGAGTTCCTTGCGAGAGAAAGTAATGGGTATAAAAGGTAACGCATACCAATTCCCATCACCACGAAGAATCCCGTCAACCATCGTCCGAAGTCAACTACCCCGCTACCAGGCGCCTCCATAAAATCATCCGGATTGGCACATCGCCCGCATATCCAATTTGGCAGTGGTGCGATCACATAGGTTGCGACGACAAGGAGCGGAAGGAAATTATGCCATACTGCGGCTGAAAGGATGACCAGAATAAAACCGATCGCAAGAACCTATATGTTGGAGCCGTGAGTCAGTCATTGTTCGACCGGTTGCTATCGGACAATCCGGACATACAAACGAAAGAGAAATAATGGTCTTTAACCCGGGCGTCATGATGCCAGTCTTAAGTCGGGTGTGTGAGGGAACGGTTTAGGACTAGGCGGCTGAAGTTCCGCTGACGAAGAGCGCAAGGCCAAAATTTGGGCAAAACAAAGAATTAGGAAAGCTAGATATATTCAAATTCCATTTGAATCTGGCTTTATCAAGGAAAACGTAGTTTTCAAAGCCCTTGTTGGTGATCTTCAAATTCACCATCAAGCTGCCTGCCTGCCACTCCAACCACAACAGCGTCATCGGCGATGGAGCTAACGAGGGTTTCCGGGTAGCGTTTCCCCACGTGACCTACACCGACATGTTTATCCCAACTCGTGTAACTCAGTTATCTACGGAGTATGTAGTAAGCTAGAATTTCCTTAAGATAGTTTAGCGTGAATTGGTCTGTGTATCTAACCAAGGAGTCTCCAGAGTATGCAGGATACTGATTACTCCCTGGTTTCGCATGCCGGGAAATAGGTTGTAAGAACTAAGAGGTACTCCGTGCTCGTCTACATGGCCTTGAAGGAGTAGGCGTAGCCTTGTGCTTTTTCCGGGTCCCGTAACATTGTCTACCTGGTATACTCCGTACATATCCCAGACGAGTCCACCATCACAGCCCTTTATGAGTTTTGGCTCGGAGCAAATCGAGTAGTATATCCGCTAAACTGGAATGGCGCACATTAGGGTTTGCACTAAGCCCGGAGTGGACAAGAGCTCTGTTGGCACGTCGTCGTCGCTCTCTGCCTTGGCGAGCATCATGATATCCCTCTTCCATCAACAGCTTCCTTTCTACACCTCTAGAACTTGAGTACCCAATTCTGCAGTTCGAAATTTCTCATTGCTAAGGCTTGCGTTTCAGGTTGTTGATTCAATATGTTTCGGAATAATTATGACAACGACTCCGTCACATTGTAAGTCCAATCCGTTCTCGCACTGGGCTCGCGACAGATGCTGACTTGGTTGATGCGCTTGTAGTTCTCCGCAAGGGAGAATATTTCAGGTCGAATATGCACAAGAAGCCGTCAAGCAAGGTTCGGTGGTGGTTGGAATTGTCAGCAAAACACATGCAGTATTAGCCGCGCTCAAGGCATGTTAAAATAGGCGCCAGCATGGAGCTCAACTCCACGCCTGCTTGCTTTCTACTCTTCGATGATTCTAACATAACATGGACCCACGATAGAGAAACGCAGAAGAACTCTCTTCTTACCAAAAGAAGGTCATCGCAATCGACTCGCACATGGGTATTGCCATTGCCGGCTTAGCGTCAGACGCTCGTGTCCTCTCCAATTTCATGAAACAACAATCTCTCTCCTCAAAGATGACATACGGCCGCCCCATCCCTGTAGAACGCATTGTTAGTCGGATTGGTGACCGTGCTCAGACAAATACACAGCATTACGGGAGGAGACCCTATGGCGTGGGACTGCTGGTCGCGGGGGTTGACGACGCTGGGCCTCACTTGTTTGAATTCCAGCCCTCTGGCATGACACAGGAGATGCTTGCCTGCGCGATTGGGGCAAGAAGCCAAATGGCACGCACATATCTAGAAAAGCATTTGGATGAATTTGCAAATTGTGGACGGGACGAATTAATCAATCACGCTCTGAAGGCATTGAAAGAGAGTTTGTCCCAGGATAAGGAGTTGACGATTGATAATACCACAGTGGGGGTCACGGGTATTGGCACAGAGGCAACAAGGGGGAAGATGGATACCTTCAAGGTGTACGATGGCCAGGACGTCACAGCTTTCTTGGAGGCGAGCACGGGCGAAGCCGTCACCTCCACCACAGAACCTCAGGGAGGAGAATCGATGGAAGTGGACTCCTGATAATGTCCTTTGATAGACATTGTGTTTGCTAACTTATCCTTGTTTTGCCTTGGTTCGGTGTTTAGCTACGGGTAATGAGATGGATTTGCCAATACCCATGTCTCATGTCAGTTTGCTCATCTCATAAAGCCTCAAATGATTGATTTGCTCATTCTTTGGAGCATTCTGTTAGCTAATTGCTATGCAACTGACAATGAATCACTTCCAATTCTCATTGTATCGAGTATTATTGTCACCATAAAAACCCATAGCTCATTACCACATCACTATGGTTTACAGTCTTCCCTTGTTCCCTCCCACTCCAGCCGGTACCGCCCTTCACTAAGTTTATATTTCATCAGGGCATCCAAGACATGCTCCGCATCCTTGCATTCCACTATGATCTTACTGTTCGCCTCACTCACAAATTCAGCCTGCACAGACTTGCTAATCCAACTCATGATTCCATCCCAATATCCGTCTATATTCAGCAGGACAATGCCCCGGTGATGAATGCCCAATTGATTCCATGTAATCATCTCCATAGCCTCTTCCAAAGTCCCAAACCCACCCGGGAGCACGACAAATCCCGACCCAGGTCCTCCAGCAATCACTCTCTTGGCCATCTCTTGTTTACGCGTATGCATGTCCGGAACAATGGTAGTGACGCCGTATTCAGAGTTGATTTTCTCTAGGGAAGAAGACTGAGGAACAATGCGCTCAGGTGCCTTGCCGATAGCTTCCGAACTTCCGTCGCGTTGCGAACGAGCTGCCGAATCGGCTTTGTACCCGTTCTCGACTCCAACCAGTGCTGATGGAATTACTCCTTGAACTGATTCCGGACCGGAGAGGGATACCAGCGTCCGAGCTAATTCGCCCATGATACCGGCCGTCCCGCCGCCATATACCAAAGTTATGTTTTCTTTATGAAAGACATGGGCAAGAGCGCGTGCGGCTGCGAGATATGCTGGGTTTGCTCCGGGCTTAGAGCCGCAGCTAGATGAAGTCGCTAAGTATTAGTACAACGCTGCGGATGGAGAACTGGTGTAAGGAGCTTACAAGACACAGACAACAGGGCGTTTCTGCTCCATGGGAACGGTCATTATCTGAGAAGTGGGATTATTGCAGTGATCTCTATTGATTTGCCAATCTTAAAGAAGCGGAAAATTGGAAAAACTGGGAGTTTGGCTTGGTAGCTGGCTGAACGTGATGTTGTGCCTTAACTCGATAAATATACAAGGTGGGATGGATGCGGGGAGCAGAGGCGCAGTCACCCTAGGTCTTGTCGAACTCTGTAGCAAAAACAACCAACTGCCAGACATCCAGCAGACTAACATACTATGTTGACAGATCTCACCATGTTGTTTCCTGCTTCATGATTTATCTTTCACTCCCACAAAAGGCATTAATTTCACCTGAGAAATTTTGGCCACTACTCTTTTATCAGACATCTACGGAGTACATTATTATCCATACCTGGCCCAGAGAGGAATATACATATCAATACCCTCTGGCTATAGAAGAGATGACGCCGAATTTGGATCTCTCCTGCAACATATTCCACGCATGGATTAAATAGCCTATTGCCGCAAACTGATGCCAGGAGTTATTGAACGACTAACACACGATATCAGCAGAAACAAGATAAACACCTCTTTGATTGCTGTATAGACCAGGATGACAGCATGGGATCTGAAAATGTAAACCATACGAGACCCTGGTCCATTAAACTATCCGATAGGAGCATGTTTAGCACTTGTGCCTTAACTTTATTCCATGTAGGGCTGCCGATATGAGAGACATGCCGGCGGTACTTGCTTCAAACCTGGATGTCTAGAGGAGCATTCAACTAGCTCTAGATCTTACTTCCCGTCCTAAAAAGCAAATTACGTCGGAGAGGTCACCGGATAGCACACATAGAGGTTTCGTGAGGAATATTCTGTAGAGGGAAACAAGATGAATGTTTTGAAACCAGCAGGTGAATGCTGAAGACGGTAGAAGTCAGTGCCAAATGGTGTTGGAGGCTGATTCACTACCCCAGAAACTGAAATAAAAATACGGAGGCCTCCATTTCTCTGCGTCTTTTTCCGCCCTAAGTTGTAGTTAGAGCTATGTTGCATTTTTGTTAAGCCTTTTTAGAATCTGATACTAAAACTGCACCTTTAAGTGTCATCTGTGCCTAAAAGTTACCAGAATAGTCAGCAGTCAAGCCTAAAGGTTTGCTGATGACTTGGCGATTGAGCTACATTCATTGCCACAAGTCTAGCCGAGGGAGAGGGTTGCCGGGAGGTGCGATGCCGACTGAATCACTGACATTGGGACGGTATGTAGATCGTTGCATGGCTAACATTTGAAAGAGATTAGGTGGACATTCATGGTATCCATGAAATGGACAGTATAGATACGTACATGTAAATCATCGCCGACACATATTCTTATCCGAACGCCTTGCTATGTGGGAATGAAGAGCCCACATTCTCAGAATTTCAAAATGAAGGCCACTCCGGGTCTTCATTGGCTCATCGATCCAATTTTGGATTTCCTCTTCTTTCCCTTGTCCTTGGTCGCCGCAGGAGGCCTATCCGCCGCTTTCCCCTTCGTAGAGTCTGGCTGTACACTCGCCGGTCTTCCTGCCCCAAACGGCACTGGTGTTGTTGCTCCTGACCGGATATTCTGCCGTGATGCTTGAGCGCCGGCACCGGCGACGGACAATTGCTCCGCGGCAGACGCTGAGGCTTTGGTAAATATAAACGACCCTGGTTCGCCGGCCAGCGGTGTTTCGTCTATATACTCATTGCCATAACGAGCAAGGAGGTTGAGGGTCTCCGCAAAATCCCGGGCGTCTTGTAAAGCAGAGGCATTTAATGTGGTTGTTGATGCATCTGCAAGCGCAGATCTTGACGTGGTTTTATCCCCAGACATATCAGGCATAGGCGTTGTTTCTTTGCTTTGCTGTGCGGATTGTTGGCCAAGTTGTGTGGGCTCAAGGGACTTTGGTACGTGTGGGAGATAGCTATGTCCATAGGAGGGGGAGAATGTAAGTAAAGCTGATGCCGTGGAAAGGACTTTTGTCAGCGACGTAACTGTCGAGAGCTTCGAACAAGGAAATGAAAAGTTAGCATTCGGTTAACAAACGGTGCATGATGGAACATAGGAATCACATACCATCCTCCTCCCCACTACGCTCCAGACTGAGGGTGCCATAAACACAGAATCCCCAACAACAAAATACGTCGCCAAAACCTGTACATCATCCTGCCCGCCCATTGCCGCCGACCGCCTCCTCATCTGCTTTCTAATCACCCATACATTTGACGCCTCCTTGGGCTGCTCTCCGCGCGCCACGGCAGCCGCATTGGCAGCAGCCGCCTCTAGTAACGGATCATGCGCGACTATAAACTCCAGGCCTTGCATGGTCTTCAGCCTCCCTTCGAATGCTCCGCGCGTCTCAATGAAAGGTCTGAGATTCTCATTATGCATGGCCTGGAGGGCGAGGGACGCATTGTTCGACGTAGGATCAAAAAAGGGGGATTCGGCAAAGTAGAAGAGAACTATAACGGATTTGCGTCAGCATGGTCACCGGAATATGCGCAGACAAATGGCGATCTTGCGAGAGGGTTGGCCGTCGCGTACTGTTGTTGGAGTGGAGAAAACCACCCATCATCTGAACATGCTGCGGAGAATGCCATGTTATCTCTTCCAGAGGCACATCTGGTGAGGGCTCCATCTGTGCGGAGACAAATGGGTATAGTTTTTCTGTATGTAGCTCCCTGCTGGGCGTTGCGGAGGTCGAAGCGGAGCGCGATTTGGATGCGACAGGAGCGAAAAGGCTGTTTGCTCTGTTTGCACCCGTGATGTCATCCACTACCTAACGCCAAGACTTCAGGGGTAACTCGAACTTCCGCTCTTTGAGCTCGCGATGCTCAGGGCGCATCTTCTCGGCGGGGAAACCGTCAATGTATTCCTGAACTCTTCGTCATACTTTAATTTTGAAGTCAATTGATGGCTAGCTTTAGCGCAGCACTTAAGCACATTATGAACGCTCAAACCCCATATTTTCCAGGTGCTGTAACAACATATCCATTGTTGGCTCACTCTGAGGAGGGCATTGCGGTACAAGGGTCACCAAGGGGAGTTCAGTTCACATGAAATTACCTGCCTTGAGAGACTCATGGTAGGTATGCTGCCATAGATTCTGATCAGGTAAAGTACAGCGCAGTATTAATCATACCTTCCGTCATTGTTGGCACCTCAAAATTACGGAGTACAGTCCGTATTACACAAATAGCATACAGTGATACTCCCCAGTATGAAACCCTTTAACTAGTTGCCCATTATTGTGACCATAAACATATCTCCATTACAAATCAACCATTAAAAGGCTCCTAAATATGCCGATACTGGAGCCTTAGAAGGGCACTGTTGCTCTCTGGAACCTATCGACTTCTTGCAAACACACCATGGCGGCGATCCATGGAAAACTCAGCAACGCCACCTTTTTTTGGCTCCTCGATCCACTATACTTCGCATGTAATGCGTGCCAAAAAGAGGCAATTGAGCGCTCAAGGGAGTCGTCGCCGCCGGAGTCCCTATCGGTTAGCATAGAGATGGTAAAATTAACTAACTCTTGGTATTCTGTAAACATACAGCTAAGTCAGAAATAGAGCCAGGAACAAACTGGGGCTTAGAGGGACTTACCTTCCCGCATTGATTGAGATGCCTCTTTATCACGTCTACTCTGCTTGCTATTTTGTCCGAGAATGGATCCCATGACAACTTCGACTTCCGTCAGGGAGCTCTTCCACGGCGTCTTCGAATACTGCTGCATGATTTCTCGGAGCTTATCCTCATAGCTAACAATATGATGTCGATTAGAAAAGTATTCCGCAGTCGATAGGATAAGGGAAACTTACATATCTTTCACTTTCCTACCATCCTCGACAAGGTGATCCCATTGAAAGCCTTCCGTTTCGCTTGCCACATAGTCCCAAATAGCATTAAGCAGCGTGTTGTCATCTCGCCTTAACTTGCTGGCATTTCGAACGGCATTAAGGAACTCCTGCTCGTTGATATTACGGTACATGACCCCAAGAATACGATTACTTTTATAGTAGCGCCTTTGAGGTCTCTCGTCCTCATCGTCGTCTTCGTCTTCAGCAAGATATTGTTCTTCCTCGACGACTTCAATGCTATCTGCAATCTTGATACGAGGGCTCGGGGCCATAAAATCTGGATAATAGCGAGGCCGTTTAGGAATACGAGTCAAATCAACCTGCAATTAAAAAGGTAAGCAATCTGTCACCTCCTGTTAAGTCGCACCTAGAATAAAAATTCTTACCGGTATTCCACTCTTAGAAAAGTCAACCGCTACTGAATGTAATTCTGCAAGCAGCAAACAGTCTTGATCCAAGGTACCAGCGGGCCTCTGATCCGCAATGGCTTGATGAATAGTGGCTATACGGCCCAACTGGTCCTGCTGCATAAAGGTGACAAAGAAATCAATGATATCATCCCTAACTACCTCTCGATCGAGTAATTTCTCTTCAACCTTTGGATAATTGGCAGGAGGATAAGTGCATGGCGGCATTAGGCGTTCGTCATATATAACATTGTAGAGATCACCATCTAGATCACCTCCGCTCAGCATGCTGGGCAAGTCGCGAAACCCGTGCTGACTGAAAATCACGCAGTTATGCAAACTGCGAAGAGGCGAATTCTCTGGGACATCGACGGCCTTTGCATACTGGACGTCCCCGGGGTGTAAAGCAGGGGCCCGAGTGACAATAACCTGGTCTCTAACAAGGATCTCACGACCGCCCTCTTCGTTCAAGAAGGTACAAAAGATCTCTCCTTCATTTAGGTACCCCGTCTCATCCATGATCCCATAAAGAGTAACAGCCTCTGGCACCCGAATCCGTGCTCGATACTTCAAATCACGCATCTTGAAGAAGATAGCTAGCTGAACAACCGATCGAAGGAATGGATCCTGAT